GCAGTAGCCCTAGAAGGAATTTCTAGTACGTGAATAGTTAGCTGCATGTACAGTTATATTGGGCCTAGGTAGGTATGTACCCAGGTAGCTAGCTATTTCGCAAAATACATGATCGTCGACTGTCGGGGGTTACGGATCTGGATCAGTTAGGGACTTGATCTGGGACGGCATGTCATCTCTGTGCCAATGAAGTTCAAAATGGAACAGCTCGGCAAGAGAGCGGCCGTCTCCAACGAGGCCGGAGAGTCGAAGTTTCGTATGTGTAACTGATAAGCAAGCTAATTGATGGGATGTCTTATGCCAAGCACGATTGCGCTAGCATAATCCGTGGGGCAGATGCAGTCTGCTTCTCAGTCGTTACATAGCGTACGTTATGTACATGCCAGGGAGTTGGTAGACCAGCGCAAACATGTCCACAGTAAGCTCGTGATGAAGCAGATTGCGCATTTTGGGTCGCAAGGACGGTTCCTTATAGACGAGAGGATATATCCTATTACGATGTTTTATCGTGCTTGGCCCTTGGAAAAAGTCTAGAAACAAACAAATTCTGTCCCGTATAGACCTAGGTAGGTGGTGAGGTAGGCATGTATTCCAGGGATCTTGAAGATCCTACCCCCTGTCGCTCATCATTGGAGGGGTATCCCTCATTGCCCTGAATTTTCCAAATCTTTGGTGACTCCGACAGAACTGCGCGAGGACGGTTCGTAGAACGGCGATGCAGACGCAGCGACGACGATCATGATTTGTTTACGGATGCAATCGTATGTTACATATTTACATACAGTAACGCGAACTTCTTACTTCATTCACCCTTTCCAGTTTCGACATCGACTTAGCAACGTATGCGTTGGTGATTAGATAGTTGCTTGCAAATTGTTGTCCCCTCAACAGAATCGAGTCGGTGCGGTCCGAAAGGGGGAGCTGCAAAGAACAAATTGGCGGGGGTTCGAGATAACGATAGAAGCTTGATGGAAACAGCAGAAGCAAAGACAGTAGTAGAGAATCCATGTCTCCCAAGTCTCGGCGTCGTCTTAGACCATCCACACTTCATGGTCGCCGTTACACGATCCACCAGGTTATAGTATACGACCAATGGCTCGAGGTCGAGGCTAACCAGCCCAAGTGCAACCCGCAGTCACATACATAATGTATGTAGGTTTATGTATGTCTAGGAGGCATGTATGTAGGTAAGTATGTAGGTATGTAGGTAGGTAGGTTAAAGTTCCCCATCTCTAGTAATAAACCATCTAACCGCGTATATGCTCAATTCCCGCTCTCGTTGCTACCGTAGTATCTACCTAACTCATGTATACCGACTGGGAGAACATGGCGATGAATAACTTCGAGAAGCAGACGCATTCTTGGAGACACGATTTCTTGGCTTCATACTTCCTATTGCGTGACGACATCAGATTGGTACTCCGTAATTGTTCGGTCTCCCTTATAGACCCTTCTCCAACAGAGCGACGCATCCATGTAGTATGTCGTTCGTGTAGTTCATCCCGGGCAGTCGAGCATCGGTTATCTCGTGATGGTTGTCCGCTATGGCGAACATCTCGAATACGACAAGGTCCTGGACTCCTGGTATACCTAGTAGTTATGTGGTACGAGAATCATAGACCCATATAATTACAACTGCATTGTTGAGGCTTGGGTTGAGTCTAGCACTTGAAGGCTTGCCCTGTCTCTCGTCATCCTGTATCTGTGGGTTGCACGTAGCCTATATTGGATTAATCCTCGGCCATTCATCTGAGTATATGTGAAAATGAACTTCACACCTCGGATTAATATTATAGCTTACACATGATGATGTCCGACGCGGCCAGTTACCTATCATATGCAGTAGCGCCGCAGCCTTACCCTTAGTCCGACTTCAATAAGAGTTATTTCGCCGGACAGCCAATGTGAACGTCTCTAGAGCTATCTCATAAATTAAGAGCAAACATGATTATAGTAGAGCCGTGTTCACACGCAATGATGCAGCCACTTGAGAGGTCAGCTGAAAAATGCGAGGTAATTACTAGACACTCCTTTACCCAAATGACATCTTCCACTGTTTAAATTTTTGGGATATGTCTTACGAAGAAAAGCCCTCAGGTTTCGATCGGTAATCCCACCCTATGTAGAATTGACAAAAACGCCAAACCAAGGGGCGGCTATAAGCGAGGAGGGGGGGCCACTTGTCACAGTAATAGGATGTCTGGTTCGTTCGTTTAATGCTTGAGCTCGATTCTGCCCAACTACAAAGCAATCCACATAACCGTCTCGTCTGGTTTCCAGTTGTCTGCCATAGGCAGCATATGTAAATTTTCCTCTGCGCCAACGCGCTCGTTGAATGTCCGCAACTCCCAAGATCGATATACTAGGTATATCATAGGTACTATGCTACCTAAGAAAGGGGTTGAGCGGTACAAGGCAAGACGAGGCGATTTTACGTTACAGGCGTAACATAGATGCTCTGTTACGCAGTTCGCAGCGATACTAGACCCCGGATTAAAGAGCTTACTTGCCCTGCTTGCCCTATTGCGATCGAAGAGTGGGACCCCGGCAGATCATCGATTACTTGGTTAAATGTTAGGTAATGAAGCTGCTTGGTAAGAGGGCTCTAAACATCGTCATTTGAGATAGGACGTCCCATAGGTAGCTTGAATTACTGAGGAATTGGAGTCGTCACATTACCTCGCCCGTTTCCATGGGTTACATACAGTAAGCAACTACGAGCACGCCAAGACTGGTAGAGCTTGTTGGCTACGATCTGGCGTATCGGAAACACTTACAGGAAAATTAAGATAACCAGTCGGAAAGCATTTGTAGAGTAGAATTGCAAGGAACTGTGGTTATGGAATTAAACATTCGTTATGGTTTGAGATCTCCGTCCAACCACGGAGTTGAGGAGGGTTGCCGATTTTACAAGATGCCTGGGAAATCCAATATCAGACAGGCATACTATGTATGGAAGATGGCACAGCTGACTTGGAGGACGGTAATACTAGTCCAGCCTGTCCAGCGTGACAGATGCTCACACTAGGTGCTGTAAGGGTATACGGTGGATCGTGTCTAAGTAGGCTAGGTACCTCTCTATAGATGCCAACCTGACCCTTTAGGCTTGTAGTGGCTTCGCGCCGCCTGAAACTCCCCGCCTCAAAAATCCTAGAAATCCTCGGTCAGGATACTCGCCTCCAGGGATGATCGATCTAACATGCACAGTAAATCGATAAAATGATAAGTCGCACGGTATATGTCCACCTACGTAATTAAAGTCCCGGAGAGCGAAAGCATCGTTCGTGTACTTTGTACGGTAATGCCCCGGTGCCACTGGTGCCACTGGTGCCACTTCGTAGATAGCGCTTGGATGAGGACCGTCCCCTGATCACAGCGTCTTTTTTTATGGGAAGGGGGAGAAAAAATTGGGGGGTAAAAAGGCACCGATCGAAAATCCTTCCGCAACAACTAGGGATTCCAATTCTAATGTTAGCACAACTGCACGGCATTACCGTAGCTACGTCGAAGGCGCGCCGAGGCACCTTGAAGCAGCACCTGTAACGTAGCCCTCACTGATACTTGTACATCGGACCATTGTGTTGGAACTGCACATACTATTGAGCGTACGTGAGTCTGCTCTGCTCTAATCTGTAAGTATGTGTATCATCCGTATGCACAATTAAGCGGCACATTACCCCTTCTATCAAACCATCAAACTTACAGACTAATAATAACTTCAACTTACAAAGGGTGTCTAAGGTTAGGATTCGACGTCCCGCTTGGCTCACGATGATGGGAATGATGGGAATGATGGGAAATGTGGGAAAATTAACCCATAAGCCAAGAACTAAAATCGAACGATGCTGTTTGCAGCATCTCGCGCATTTCCGTGTTAAGCAGTGCTCGTTTCTGGTTTCCCATCCACATCCCACTCGCTACTTACATACATACATACATACATACCTCTACCTACGAGACTATCCCGTAGGTCATCCCGCAAGCCTACCGAGGTTTAGTTGACCAGCTCCCTGTACGATTCAGTAACACAAGCCAGCGAGCGCTGTATGCATGATTTCAGCCACTCTCCTCTTCATCCGCTGCAGATGGCGCTATGTAGGCGGGAAGCCCTTCACTAGCCGAGCTGACGGCCACTCTCTCCACTGTAGAACACCCACGTATTTGAATATTTGCTTTCCAATTCCTCGGTATTCTCCTCTAGTACTGTACTTCTGAGGATCTCGACATTTCGTCCGAAGTTTGTCGCATAGAGAACCTTGAGCGATACGAAAGGAGGTAGGGAATAACAACAGGGCCATCGCTCAACCCCCCCCCCAGACTCGCCATATGTCTGCTAAGCCTGATATCGTTAGGACTCGCCGTTCGGTCCTGACCCTTGTTCCTACAGTAGTCTCTGAAATCGCAACAGCTACAAACTACAAAGTACCTGCCACGATGTCCCCTCACCCCCGTTCTGCATGCATCTCAAGCCTACAGGGGCCACCCTGCCCCCCCCTGTCGCCGTTCTCTCCTCTAGCGTCCCTCGACCTGCTTGTACAATGTAGGTATATCCCGCTGATCTTGAAAGTAGGTGACCCACTCCCATGTCGAAATGCTCATTCGTTCCCCTCGATCTCGCACATCCATCTCAACTTGTAGCATAGGGTCAAAATCAGATTCCCCGTCATTTCACTTCCAACCTTTCAACGTTCTTCTCTGCTGCCCGGTGGCACCCCCAAACTACACCCAAGCCGGGCCCACCCATGCTCTCTCGTCTGCGGTTTGGCTACTGCTACATGCATATGTATTATCGCCTCCCTGGACAAGGTAGGGGTCGAGCATGGAGGGTGAGCTTGTACCTCTCCCGTACCGTCCTAGAGCGGGTGGGGAGCACGACCTCGATACGGTAGTGTGCTCGTTCATATAGAGACCGCGTTCGCATCATATATCTGGTCGTCCCATTCGTTCCACCCCCATCGATCTTGTCTGCCTCTTCCCATGCAGTTTATATAACATCTTGCTTGGACGATCCATCTTTTCCATATTAACGTCAATTTACCCACGCCAGTCAACCTCCCCCTTCCTTGAAAGACAAGAGATTCTATACTGCGTCGAGACCGGAGTCGAGACCGCTGTCGTCCCGAGCTGCCTTATGTGCTAAGAACGACATAAGATCTTTCCCTCGATATAGTGCCTAGCCTAACATGACAGTCTCACTTCCACCTCAGTCTAATTCGTCCAAGGACGCCCAGGCCGCCCGCAAGCGCCGGAGACGGGCCCCCGCCGGAGGAGCTGCCGATGACTGCTTCACCTGCATCAAGAGGAATACCAAGTGCGATAGGCGGCGGCCGTACTGTTCGCAATGCCTTGAGATTGGGAATGAATGCTCCGGCTACAAGACTCAACTGACCTGGGGGGTGGGTGTGGCGAGTCGAGGCAAACTTCGGGGGCTCTCGCTGCCCATAGCAAAAGCGCCGCCAGTTGCGCCAGTTGGGAAGAAGGCCGCGAGCCGGGCCCGAGCAACAAGTTCTGCGACAACCTCAACTCAGTGGAGCGACCCGGAAGAGGGGCGTCACAGGACTCACCGAGACGATGTCGATATCAGCGGAGATCACACTACATCTGTCCCTTCAACACCATATGGGACCTTTCCGGGGTACTCGAGGTTCCCGCATGGCGAACCGACGCCGACTTCCCAGAGGGTTTGGGGAGGCCTTCCGACGTACGGCGGCGGTGTGAACGCCAACGAGCAGTCCAGGTATCAGAAGTTCAGCTCCTCGATGGGCCACTTCCCCATAATGGGTGACTCACTATCGTCATCCGTGGACTCGCTAAACGAGGTCGACTATACCTTATCACCTATAGGACATGCTTATACTAGAGAGGAGATCCCCTTCGTACACAGCCCAACCCTCATGTACGAGAACTACACGGGCCAGAACTCTCCCTCTCCCCAAAGTCCCGCCGGTGCGATTTTAATCGATCAGCGAGCGCCAACTTCGTGCCCTAGCCTAGTTTACGCGCCATCGGAGCCGAGCTCGAGCCTCAGTTCTCACCCTGACTCCTTCGAGCCGCAGATGGCCCATAGACTCGTCGCAGACAACGATACTCTGAGTAAGGATCAAGCGTTCCGAAATGCCATGCCTCGGATCACTGACAGCTCCTTGCAGGCGTCCCTGAGATGGAGTCCTACGGCACCAGCCCGCATTCCACACATGGTTCACACTGGGCCTCTTCGATTTCAAGAGATGATGATGTAACACCTCACGCCGTGGACACCGCTTCGGCCGCCCTGTCTCTCCCGTACGAGAGCCAGTCGATACAGGTTAGCCCTGATCTCATTGCTAAGATGCCATTCTTCATGGACTACTACGAGAACATTATGTGCCCGTCCATGGTTCTTGTAGATGGGCCGAACAATCCATTCCGAGACCACATCCTACGGCTAGCGTCTGGTAGTCGAAGCCTACAACATGCCATATGTGCCCTTTCCGCGTGCAACCTAAGGATGAAGAGAAGGCTAAGTCTTGGTCAACGTGCCAGGGACTCAGAAAGCAGCGGCTCTGAGAGACTCTCGGATATGCAATCAGACCACCACTCCTTGTCCGAAGAACACCAGCACCGCAACCTGGCCGTCCATCTCCTCAACCAACAACTGAACGATCCCGCTAAATCATGCCACGACTCTGTTCTGGCCACTATATTACTTCTTTGCCACTACCGCATGGTCGAATCTGGCGTTGCAAAGTTCCACACGCAATTCGCCGGCGTTAAGAAAATTCTCAGCATGCGAGGCTCAGCCCCTTATCAAGGATCCAGCGACTCCGCGTGGATGGAAGCTATTTTCACCTACTTTGACTCAATATCGGCCAGCATCAACGACCGCGAAGCGCAACTTAACCACTCGTTTTACGGACTTCCCCCTGACGCCAATCTGTTGCCACCCGGAGCCGAGAACTTGGTCGGCTGTGACCGAGAGTTATTCAAGACCATCAGCAAACTTGGCCGCCTCAACCTCCTATCACAACACCTTCCCGTACAGAGCGTCCTGGCAACACCCACTGGTCGCGTCGGAACACCAACAACTTCTTCTCCACTAGGTTCTCCGCTAGGTCACTCCTTCAAGCAGCCCGCCCCATCGCTAGGAGATTTTTTTAGCATAAGTCATCATCGCTACGACGGCAACGGCTTTGCATCGCAACTAGATGATGAGGAAATCCTATCCACGGGGCTTTGCTCCTCTCCTCAATACGACGAACACCGCTCAACCTTCTGGCGCGAGTGGAAGGACGCCCGCATGGCTCTTCAAAGCTGGGAATTTGACGCTCAGCGAGTAGCCTCGTCTCTCCCTAACTCGGCAACGCAGACGCAAGTTCGCGAACTGCAGTGGCTCTCCGAGGCTTTCCGCTACGCCGCTCTACTTTACACCGAGCGCCTGGCTTCGCCTAATGTACCTTCCACACACAACAACTTCCGCAACTTAGTGAGCCAGGTCGTCTACTACGCGAGCTCGCTCGAGGCCGGTTGCAACGCCGAGAAATTCCTGCTCTGGCCGCTCTTCGTAGCTGGCAGCGAATGTGTGAACGAGCTTCAACAAAATATCGTGCGCGGCAAGTGCCGCGAAATCATGTCTCGCAGCGGCTACATGAACAACCTAGCAGCCATCGAAGTACTAGAAAGACTCTGGGCTGGCGAATATTACGAGCCCCCTACTAGTCCCGGGAACAAGCTAGGGATGAGACGTGGCTGTTTCAACTGGACAAAATGCATTGGAGGACCAGGAGTTGAAGTGGAGTGGATCATGTTTTAATAACATACACCACGCGCACATTTTACCTTCTACCACGAAAAAAAAAGGCGGCAATCTCGAAAGAGGCGGAAACGGAAATATACTGGATCATAGAGGTTTTATGTCCTTTTTTACCAATTTTACCTTCTTGTCACATATTTTCAACGCCAAACTTTTTTTTTCTTGTTTTCTATTTCACCATTCCCCCCCTTTTATCACGAATGTACTATTATATATATCGCATGTTGATATCCCCCGGTTTTATGGTTACGGCGGACATGAATGAGATCTGGATTATGGGTTTTTGTTTTTTTAGTTTTAGTTTTCAACATTTGGGAGATGTTCTGTACGAGACAAGTAAGAAATGTGGAAATGACCTTGTTAGAGAGGAGCTACCTACGGGATGTGTGGGAGAAAGAGACATGTTCGAATGGTGGTAGTGGAAATTAGCTAGCTATTTTAGGAGCACATGACATCCATGAACAGAGACATTCATGTAGATGAAGAGACATGCAGAGAAGAGAGAACATTTCCCAAAAGAAAAACCAGTACCAAATCGCAGTTCGTCACTTTGGTCTCGTGATTTCTAGCACACGCCCGATGCCGTCCCTCCTTTACCACACCCTCTGGTAGGTTGGGGGTGCATGTGAGCAGCTGTCAGCACGCAAAGCAGATCTCCCGGTGGCCGACGTCACGCCATAGCGCCTCAGATGGCCCCCCAATACAATGGACGAAGTGGGCTAGCATACATGTATTTAGTAATGACATATTATACGGTACATATCCAGACTAGTGTAGACAGATATTTGACCACACACCCACCAACAACCGACCACCCTCTGTTAATCGAGCGGGAAGGAGCACTCCCACCCTCCCTGGTAGCCAATCTTTCCCTCTCCAGACCCCCATCGTTAGTGAATACCGTTCCGTGGTGGAGTGAGATCGGCTCAGCCACATCTTTTTTTTCCACAGTACCATTCATCGACCAGTTACTATGTATGTAGATAGGCCAAATACAAATACACAGACGTTGAAGAAGATATCAGTATGTAGCTACCTTACTAGCGTGTATCCACCAAGCGAATGCGAGTTGAAATAAACCAGCCTCAAACTTCATGATACACATGTGAAAACCCTCATCCACCTCTCTATTCACTCACCGCGAAAGCCGAGGCTGAGCTAGGAACTCGCCTACGAACTCGCCTAGAAGCCCGTCTAGAAGCTCGCTTGGAATTTTTAGGTTGCTATCAAGCTACGGAAGTGCTATATGTCCGCTTATATGAGACATGCCAACCAAGCCTTAAATCCTTAGTACGAGATCTAGACATATCTCACTAAAGCAATAGCAAAGCTTGTATAGTTGCCTCTTATTGCCCCCTACCTCCGTCTCCATCGTCCTAGGGCGCCCCCACTCCCCACACATTTCCCAGATAGGGAGGAAGAAAGGCCGCCGGGGCAGCCTGGCTAACGGGACTTCTTACGCCTTGGGTTCCAAAAACCCCCCCCCAACCCTCATTGACGTAATAGTAACCTTCGACGCATGATACCGAAGAGATCTAGTAGATCAATATGTGCCCGGGTACGAAATAAGTAAGATGAGAAGGACTGAATATGTAAGAGAGGAGGCATATAATCAGACACCGAGCCAAGAACGAGCAGGAGACTTCCAGAAGGGTTCCGCAGCTATTGGAACACTATGCCTTATCCCCCTAACCTAATCTATCCAGCTATAGCTAGCTAGGCAGCTGTCAGTGATAGCCTAAGCCAAGAAGTTGCAGCACATGATTCATGTACGGGTAGGTCACAGATAGGCGTACATGATTGTATCTATCCCGTACGGTTTTTGTTATTTACTTTCTCTTTTCTTCTTAGCTGCTTCTGCTCTTCGCGATGTACCAAGTCGACGACAGCGAAGCTTGGTTCGTCCACTTATCGTCCGTCCCACTACTCCCTGGGGGTCGACCAGCGCCATCACACCCAAGACCTATAACGATCGTCGTTGTACAGCTGTGCGGCACGCAGCGGTTCTTCACCTTCGTCGGTCACCTTTGCTCGGTATGTCAGACCCACGGTTGGAAGATGGATCTACCGTAGCTATAGCGCTAGCTAGGTACGGTAGATAACTCGTGTCAGCATGCTTACACTCTCTCCCTTTTGGTCTAACCATTGATTACCCGCTTACGGTTGGCTATTGAGACTTGTTAATAGAGCTGCGAACAGGTCATCTGACCACGGAAACAGCCTTCCCTGCGAACCATGTCTGCTGGTTGGCGGATCTGGCCTCAGCTCCTTGCTGCTTACACTAGACGGTGCGAACCGCATAGGATCCTATCCGCTTCGCACCGGGTAAAATCTAGATGATTTTCATAGGGTGTAGATCGTATGGGCGTACAGACCTACATAACTACAGTATCGTAAGGAAACGTCAACCGACCCAGACTTCTAGCGACGGTTCATCGAGTCGATCAATCTAGCAACCAATTCATGGCCTTAGAACGAATTTATTGGCCAAGACGTACTCCGGGATCCGAGATCTTCCGCCAGGGCAGCATCGACGTAGAGCAAGGCCATATCGTAGCTAGTGCTGTAGCTAGAGGGGGTCCACAGGTAAATCGACGAACATCCCGCACAACAGGTGGTAATGCGAGCGTACATAGAACGTACATAGAAAGATGATGGGTATGATCCTGAATGATTTTAGCTTCTTCTTCGCGGGTTCTAGTAGCTCGCCGGATCTGCTAGTCAGGGGACCATTTTAGGGGGATGGCTCCGCGATTCTCGACCGGAGTCGAGAAGCTCTCGAGTTCGGGGGTTATTCCTCATCTATAACTAAGGTGCGCCCTATTATGCGACTCTGCGCGCAGCAAGCCGGTCCAATGCATCAAAGGTGCGGGCTTGGCCGCATCGGCGGGTTCCAGAAGTTCGTCTAGCTGCCGATTGGCCCTGTTCGGACCCTGGCATTTCTCGGATCACAAAAAGCCTACTGGACAGGGGGTTTCGGCGATCGATCAGAGATTGGAGCATTAACTAGGTTGATTGCCTTGAAGCAACTTGACGAGACGACAGGTTCGTATCCGGAGGAGACTAGGAGTACGTCTATTATGCAGGAATCGTAACATGGGACTTTGTGTGTTGTGTGCTGTGTGCGGGATCTTTGGAATCATCTCGGGACTTGAGAAGTTCTGTTACAGTCCCTCGTAGAAATATGGAAATATGCAACATCAAGGTCTCACTCGACGGGAATTGCACTGCCACTCCTTACCGTCCCTTACCATTCTTAGTCGGAATTGAGTGGGTTGGAGGCAGCAGAACATCCCACCGTCGAGCGGCTTGAGGGCTGTTTGAGCTCACGGATTTCATGATAAATAGGTACTTGCGTAAGACTTCCCCAGGTTGGACGGCAGATGTTGGAAGCGTCTCGCGACAGGACGAACTAAGATAGGGCCCTCGCCGGACGCCAAGCCCGACCAACATGCGTCGATATGTTGCTACAGGTATGTTGCTACTATGTGGCAAGAAGCATTTGCCGCGCAAGGCTCCAGGGCATTTCTCTCGTATCGAATCTCTCCCGTGTTCTTTAGACGAAAGTTGACGAATCTCTAACGGAGCACTACAAGACTCCAAAAATGATGTTGCAAGAAAGATGAACTGCCCAGTGTTACACGATTATAGGTAACAATTAATATTTGAGAATAATGCCAAGAGATCACGTGTGGATAAGATCCCCAATGATGTTATCTTATCGCAATGCTTATCTCAAAGTTCCGTTTTATCAATCAGCAAGAAATTTTGGTGGAATTTTCAAATGAACGTAAAAGCCAAGAAACATTGCGATTGCGACATTGCGACATTGCGCCCGAATCGGACTCTAACTTTGAGGTTGAATACTTCATATTTGAAGTCACAAGATCAAAGAAAGTAGAATCATGGGTCGGGATCTTCAAAAGCGCAAGAGGCGCTCGTCTCGCAACGCCATCCGCCAACCGTCCTCATCGAAATCGAAGCGTCTTCTCAACCCGCTGGGAAATGACATCGTCGCGAAAAATTGGTACGCTCTACAAGCTAAAGGGGAAACAATAAAAATCCAAACTAAACTCATGCAGGAACAAAAAGGAGACCGCATCACAGAACTATCGCCGCCTAGGCCTAGTATCACGTCTCAAGGCGCCGACGGGTGGTGTAGAGCCCAGCGCCAAATCGCAGTCCACGAAACCCGTAGATCCGTTCGCCATTTCCCAGCCGACTGGCGCCGTCATCAGTGAAGTGCGCGTGGAGCGTGATGAGAAAGGGCGGATCGTGCGCGTGCTGGACGGATCGAAGTCGAAGGACAACCCGCTCAACGACCCCTTAAACGACTTAGATTCTGACGATGACATGGATGACGAGGAAGCGGCCGAGGAATGGGAAGGTATCGACGAGGCAGAGGACGGTACCGGGATTTTCCCTGAACTCGAGACCCAAGCCAATCAGCCCATAGCCAAGAAAGCAAAAACTCAGAGCAAGAGAGAGGTCGAATGGTTGCAAAGGCTCGTAGAGAAGTACGGCGATGACACGAAAGCCATGGCCAGGGATCGCAAGTTAAATCCAATGCAACAGACGGAGGCGGATATTGCAAGGAGGATAAAAAAGCTGAAGGGCCGGTCAACTTGAAAAGGGGTTAAGGGGGCTATAGTCTTAATGGGTTTTGAGACAAGACAACTGCATTGCAAGGCGTTATAGGATCTCAGATTTCGCTGGCTGATAGGAGCCAGTAGTCGACATGATAGTGCTCTTCAAGGCGCTAAAACTAAAATATCATTGGCAACTTAACTACCGTCGTCCAAATACCCAAAATGCCCACATATCCATGTATTACGAACCAGCCTAGACAACAATCCGTAATTAGTAGAGTAGTACAGTACCACGAGGTCAAGCATGCCATGTCAACCCCTAGAGAACCCGAGAACCCCAAAGAATATTGAATCTTCAATGGATATATTTGCAGACCAGAACTATCGAAACAAACATAACCGCAACAATCGTAGACACTATCCTGATATCTGTGAAGTGTCGTAATGAGCATATGTATCCGGAACACCTTTCAACCGTCGTGAGTTTTATACTAGCCCGCCGCTCTCGTTCCAACGACACGTAAATCTACTTCGTATAGGTATTATTCGTATCATACCATCACAAGGTACACACCCCTCGAGCTGCTACCGCATATTCCGGCAACGGGATACCGTTACGCCAACTTAAGGTACTTAACGCAATGTGCGGTCGTAATTCGCGCTAGGGAATTGCACCGGTCTATCGTCATCGTAGTCCTCTGCCGCGGGCGGAGCGTATATGTGAGGCTGAGAAGGTCTGGATGATACGGAGGCGTATGGGTCGCCGTAGAGGTCGCTGTGCGACGGCGAATGGCTGTGCGATCGGTATGCGTTATCGAATGGGTTTTCGAGGGGAGCGGGAGATGTGCTATGTGGTCTATACGCGGTATCGGTGTCGAGTCGGCCACCAAACGAATCCGGATCGTAGGGACTGTCGTGGTCGTGCTCGTCATGATGATCGTCCATGTGCACGGGCGCATATGCTTCCTCGTCGTGGGGCGCCATCGAGAAAGCCGCCTTATCGGGGTCGATGTTCTGGCTCGCGTTAAGGTTATCGTACCCGGGAAGACTGTCGGTCTGCCGGTAGTATCTCAACGTGTATACGCTGATAGCTGTTGTCGCAACCCAGGAAAGCCTATACTAGCAGTTAGCGGGTATGTTTATTGTTATAATGCTCGTGGTAGTCGAATCTATACATTTGAAAGAAGGCGATCCCAACGATAGCCTTGCTGACAGCGCACGCTGATCCACACGAATTCGCGGTGTTGTAAGCTGCTTGACTGGCGAAAGCAGATAACCAGAAGATAGCGAAGACGGAATCGACGACGACCATCGCATGTGGTTCGGCAATCTTCCGAGTTCGCTCGAATCGCGGTGACATAGCTAAGTAGATCCAGGCCGGGACGGATAAGAAACACTGTTACCGGGAGTCCAGTGAGCATACGTGCACTATCGCATGTAAATACGAGGGGGAAAGGGGGAGGTTACGTACCAGTCCGAAAGGCCAGCCATTATTACCGTTGATGACCGAATTATCCGCTCGGAACAAGACGATCTCGAGTATAAATATTACGAGGCCTAAGATGCCCTGAAAGATGTGGAGGCCGAGCTTGGTGTTGGGCACCTTATCGGGGTTGATATCTAACTTCTCGATGATTGCCGCCATTTTGTAACGGCTAAGCTCTGGATATAGACTTTAAGGTTAATCTCGACGTTCGACGTTCGGCGATGCTAGACGAAAGTTTCCAACGTCTAGATGAAGAGTTTTACCTCAGAGTAGTACGAAGCTTGTAGAAGCAACCAAAACAGCCAAGTAGGCTGCGTCGTATTTTAGGGGCGGCTTTGCGGCTGATGGGGTTGTCGAAACTTAGCTAACAAGGGCTTGGGCTAGTTTCAACTGAAATATATTTGTACGTATTGGATGTATCGGATATGTATTAGATGTACCTAGTCGACTTAGGGTCGCGAAGGGTTGAAATTGCAAAACTCGATTCAAAGAAGAAGCGAGAGACGGAGAAAAGCCAATTGCGATGGAGTTGGTTTATTATGATAATAATATGAAGTTTTTGTGTTTTTGCCTAACTACGGCACTACGGTTACGTATTAGCTGACATGAGCCGGGCTGATGAATATCGATTGCGCGTAATGTAATAGGGAGGGTCTACGAAGAACTTGGGACGTTCTATTTTTAAGCTCAGCCACAGTTGGGTGGGGATATTTAACCTCATATTCAGTATTGGCGGCAAAACACAGCCTATTAGCGCCACTCCAGGACTATGCTTTTGCTACCAAGCCACGATTCACGCACCGGGCCAACTGCAAGCGCCCTTAGTACAGGGCTCTTAGCGACGTTCTTATTAACTAGGCGGCTGAAGAAGCGGCTTACAGGTACGCAGTTGTCGGCATGAGAAAATGAGAAAATGAGAAACAAGAAACATGGCCAATATATCATTTAATTATTCCGCTTTTACCGCAAACAAAGAGAAAGAAGATTCAAAACACTTCGTAGGTATTGCATAGGGTTCCCTCGAACTATAGTGTTGGAGTTGTCTCACACTCTTCGAATAATATTCCGTCTAATCCTCGACACCTCAGCCTGTCTCTCCGCCACTTATATGGGTCTTCATGCGATATGACCTATCCTGGCTTTTTTGGAATTAACATGCTTGGCCGAAGATTCCCTCGTGTTCTACCCACTTACTGACGGAAATGCAGCCTGCCGACGCTCACTATCCGCAACACGTCGGGGTCACCTCTTGCGCAGCCGCTGACTTGCATGACTAATAAGCAAGTCACTGTCGCACCTTACACACCTAGCACCTCACTATATCGGATGAATACCCATGGCAACAAGGCCGTGTAACCCGGCGCTATTGTCCGGCCTGGAGCTGCTGCGATTCCGAATGCAACCCGTTAACGGCACAGCGCCGATATAAGTTTTCCGTCCCTTCTCCTCGGGACATAATTCCCATACTTCGATTCGGGAAACCGTAGCAGCTGGTGCTAATATTCCACGATGTATGTAATAGTCTACATTATTCATAAATTGGAAATAGGTTGCCGGCATGTTTATTCCTTGGTTTCTGTTGACCTCAGGTGTCCGGTAAAGTCTAAGTCATTACGTTGCGCTGAAGATATTTATACAATCTTCGCCGCATCCGAAAACTCGGTAGTCGCATGCCGATTATCGGGCCGTCAATCAATAGCGCAATCGCGCCTTATCTAAAACCCGACAAACGCATAATCATTGAATCATTAAATCCGTCTCGATTTCCATCGTCATTTTTAACCATCTGATACATAATCTTATTCTTACATTACTAATGCTAACAGTTTTACGCGCATTGGGAGCCTTTGAACGACTACTGCATCCAAATTCAGCCCATATAAGCGGATGCTAGTTGAGTCCAGGTCGAAGAGGAAGCATCACTGATATGACGGGAACCGAGGACATATCCGCCCAAGACAGCGTTGCGCCGCTGCCGGTGAACGGAAGCACGCATAGTCGGGGTGATGAGAGAACTCCTCTACTCAATAACCAGAATAGGAACGTCTTCCCAGCCGAGGAGGCCCCGTCGACTCACAATGATGACGAGCAGGTTATCATCGTTGAAGAGGTGAAAGGGTTTAAATTATGGCTCATCCTCTGTATCTGTTGGTTAGGTGTCTTCCTCGGCGCTATCGAGTCTACTATCATCGCTACGCTATCAGCTCCCATCTCTAGCGAGTTTCACTCCTTAAGCCTGTTGTCATGGCTTGCGTCTGCTTACCTAATCTCGAATGCTGCGTGTCAACCCGTATCCGGAAGGCTGACGGATATCTTCGGACGAGGGCCCGGCCTCGTCTTTAGTAATATTTTCTTTGCTGCTGGAAACCTCATCTGCGGCCTCGCACAGGACGCCAATGTTATGATACTTGGAAGAGTCGTCGCTGGTATTGGTGGTGGCGGCCTGATGGCTATTGCTACTTTCTTGTGTACGGACCTCGTTCCGCTAAGGAATCGAGGCGTCGTTCAAGGAATAGGGAATATATGCTACGGGGCTGGAGCCACGTTAGGCGGAGTCTTTGGAGGCCTAGTCAACGACAACTCGTCTTGGGGCTGGCGTCTGGCTTTTTTGATACAAGTCCCTCCGATTTTGGTTTCGACTTGTCTGGTCGCCTATCTCGTCCGGTTGCCGCCAAAGGTATCAGAGAAGTCATACTTGGCTCGTATAGACTTCACAGGCGCCTTCTCGCTCATAGTCTTTCTCGTCCTACTCTTACTTGGGTTGAATGCTGGGGGTAACCTGGTCCCCTGGATTAGCCCCCTACCATTGACCACTTTGCCACTATCGCTCGTGGCACTCATTGCTTTCATCATCTGGGAATCCCGCGCCAAGCAGCCCGTAATCCCGGTCCGTCTCCTCTTAGATCGAACGGTCTTCAATGCCTGCATGGTGAACCTATTCTTATGCATGGTATACATGATGGCGCTATTCTACGCTCCCATCTATATGCAGGTGCGCGGAAGTTCGGCCACAGATTCTGGCCTAGTAGTCTTATTCGCTCCTATCGGTATCTGCTTCTGCTCGATTGGAAGTGGATATGTCATGAAGAAAACCGGACGTTATGGTAAGTGAGATAAGGTCCCACCCCAAACGTCATAACTCCCTTTTCTAGTTTATTCTCGAATTCTTCCTTTCACCCAGCAGTGTATTACTTGCATACGCTAACTATGAAGTAGTAAGTTCTAAACTCGGGATTCATATGTATTGTTCCCTTTTCGGCCACAGCTGCGTATACAGAAAGCTTAAAATCCCAACTTATCTCCGCCACCCCTCCGAATCGAGATGATCGTAGTAAGCAAATTTATACGCCCCCTGCATAAGACTAACCCTGCAATAGTTACCTGTAGCTATCTTGGCTGTATTGCTGCAGCTCGCTTCTGCCGTCATCTTCACGACCCTCAAAGAGGACTCCCCAGAATGGCCCCTGATGATCGCATTCCTGCTTCTCGGCGCTGGCTACGGTGCCATGCTGAATACCATGCTACTGGCTTGCCTAGCGGCTGTAGACCACACGCACCAAGCTACAGTCACATCCGCAACTTATGCGTTCCGATCGGTTGGCGGGACGCTCGGTATTACTATAGCATCGGCTATCTATCAGAATGTACTGAAGACCCAACTGTCGGAACGGTTCGGCGATTTGCCCGACGCCGCGGAGGAGATCAGCAGAATCAGGGACGACCTTGACGAGTTGAAGCATCTTCCTGAGGGCTGGTATGACGGCGTCATGGCTTCGTTTATGGAGGCTTTTAGAAACGTCTGGTTTGCGATGTTGGGCTTAGTAATCCTAGGGCTGATCAGTGTGTCGCTACTGAAGCAGCACAAGCTGCACTCGACTCTATCTCGGAACGAAAGCGACTAGAGGACTGCATACGGACGGAAGCACTTGTGTGTTATCACGGAAAATCGTACGAGATATGGTCGAATGTAGACGGTTCTAAGCCATACGTACCATGTATTGGGGTCACAGCATTTATTATCTAATAGGTAAGGAAAACTAAAGTTGTGAAAAAGTCAAGACTTCTATCAAATCAAAAATATCACAATCTAGCACCTCAAGTTCACCATGACTTCTCCTTCGCCTCGCTAATACGAGAGATTGATGTACCCTTAAAACTCAAACGTAGCATACCACTAACTTTCTTTCTCCACCCACATTGTTATATATCTAGACCGCGGCGCGGTTAGGCACGTTCGCGAGGAAGGCGACGAGCACGGCGTAATAAGCAGGGACACCTACGAGCAGGTGGTCGTTGCGAGCCTGAAAGGTAACCATGGCGATGGCAAAGATGGCGGAGCAAGCGACGACGATGCCGAGATAGGCGCCGCGAGACCACTACAGGATAGCGATAGGCGTTAGCAGTTGCAATTCTCGAAAACACGGCTTGGAAAAGAGGTAGGGGAATGGGGAGAAGGGGTATACGTCTCTACCACGTACATTCGCTTGGAGATATAGCAGCGCAACGGGGATGATCAGAAGCAACTGGCTGCTGATCACGAGCAGCGTCTTGATGAGTAGACGGAAGGGCCGCAGGCTATAGGTTATGCGCTGGTCGTCGTTTTCGGAGGATGGTAGGGTATCGCTACGGAAGAGGCAACAGACGTACTTTAAGAGGTTCTAGCCGTGGTATGGTTGTTAGTTTTGGTCTTCTTGCTTAGGAAATGGAAAGGGGGATAGGTTACACAAGACGAGTGGAGACGGATAGAAATAGGGGGCGTAAAAGGGGGGTATCATAGAAACCAATGATAGATCGAACATACTCTTGCCCAAGATGATCTAGCACACAGAAGAGACTCGAACTGTTGGAAGATATGATCTGGCGCGTTGGAGATGAAGTCGTCGATATATCGCATGTAGGCCAGCGCTTCGTTGTCAAGCCCCTGGTGTCTTCGCACATCTTCGAAGTGTTCCTCGTGCGCACGCCTAGACACTCGGGGGAACTTCTTGTTCTCATGTTGCATGTGAACGAGTGTGTCTAGTGGATTTTTTCATGGTCAGTAACAGTTGACTCGTCTCATCTCTTTTCGTTGGACGTTGCCTCCCAACGAATCGATATCAAGTTGGGATATTTCTTTAAAACTCACGGTATTTTTGAACATATCTCGCCCTGGCATCCATTAGATTTTCCCTCTGTGCCGCACGATCAAGTTTGCCTGCTGAGCCCGGATCGGGAGGTCGTATCGGCAGGTGTCCAACCCCTTGGGCACATCGAGCTATGAACTCCTCCGGATTGAAAGGAAGTGACCTGAGCGGCTTGCCTTCGGCCTCGCTATCCTCAAAGTTCATCTCGTCTAGCTTATTATCGATACAGTGAATCTTTTGCTGATAGTAGGTAAGGACTTGTTGTGTTGAAGCTCCGAACGCCCGCTGAGAGCTGAAGTTTGGAAAGTATGCCTGCCTTGCCGTCATACTCGGCCAACCCATAGGTGAGTTATTTACTTTCAGGCTGTCAGCCTGTTGTTTTTCCTGAAGGAAATCGGGATTTGAATTGTAACATACTAACGTCTTCATCTGTGTAAAAGTCGGAGTAAGGACTGAGGCCAGCTTGTATCCTAGCTAAACATGCTTGTTAGCTGCAAAGATCGGTAGAAACATAGCTCTAGATGTGCAAACTTGCCATTTGCAACTCTTTCAAACATTGCAGAATGACTTTGTGGTTGTCGCATGTGTGGATGAGAATGATAGGAGGCAACTGGTGTCTGCGGAGCGCTGCTCCTATTGTGTGACTGGATGTCATTCAATGGGTAAGCCGGGCCTGCACTGGATGAACCGGCCATGATGGAAGATTGCAATAAATACCAAAATGATCCAGATGCTCCATATCCAACCGTATGGTATCTATCTCCTGTATAAATAGTGCGCCAAAGACGCGACGTTAACGCTAGAGACTCCAAGACACATCATCCCATCGGTTGTCGACATGAGCGCCGACAAGAGTATTCAAATGAGAACACCCTCACAGGATGCTTAAATGCCCAATTTAGCCCCCGAGAAGGTCGAAAAAAAGGCCAGTGTCTGGAGTTGGGTGTGGTGAAATCAGATATTAGGGGAAGAGCCTTGGTGCCGTGCATTTGAAGAGCAAGGCGCAATGAAGCGGTGAAGATAGAGACAAGCATCGACGCAAGCCTCAAAATTGGGTTGCTGCAGTAATAAGTTACTTAAAGAATCCCACTTCTCTATTAGCGTACAAGAGTGATTGGGGGTTGTCCAATTATATCTACCATGCTGACGAAGGTGTGTACCACTCCACGGCTCGTGAACAACCAACATATACCACTTCAGGTAAAAACATCAGTCGATACCGGTTTATGACTACAATGCAGTCCGCCTAGATGAATATTCAGCCTCACATGAGTTGCATCGTGTCGTGTCAAGCCGAGTATCTAGCATAACAAGTCATCTGACGTGGAATAAGACTACTATCTCTACTTAGCATTAGGCACCAAAGCACCGGATCTGCTCGACATATATATTTCGGTGAGAAGGATCGTAGGCTTATTTAGTATTAGTATCATCATTTAAATCAACCTTGAAGACGTCAAAGCCTTCGTGAGAAGCACAGGGCGATGGAAGCTTGCATATCTGAGGCTTGTTCGACGTAGACCCTCCTCTAGTCATGAAATTTACCTATCTTACCATTTTTAGATGTAATGGCCTTAGAATGAATAAGACTACTCTCGAGAAAAAGAGATGGAAAAGGTTATGGTCGTCCTGATAACGACAATCCAACTTTTCTTTAGAGGATTGGGACCTTTATATCTGTGAGGGGGAAAGAGAGTGGCGGCAAGTCACATTTCCATCATTCTGTGAATAAACCCCGCGTGAATAGCCCGAAATACAGAAGGGATCCGTGACAGTCCAATGCGACCTCCATAGAGAGTTATATCCAGACTTATCCCAGACGGCTATCGCAAAGCCTTGCAATCTCAAATAGGGGATGCTTAAAGTCTATGCTACAACCATGCTCGAATAAACCAGAGAATCTGCGCTGTGGTACGTGCGATATTTGTCTGGGAAACAATGTCGTTGATTAGTATATACAGTAATGGGAGACTAGTGCTAGAAGATAGGCCCATTCGTTAGATGAAGACATGCTCCTTATAGACTATACTAGGGAAAAGCATGGTAGCCCCTTCCCTGAGAGTCGATGTGATACTCGGAAATAAGCAGGATTAATGGGATTGTTCTTCATACCAAGTTCCTACTAATTATTTAGCAGAAAGAGAAACGTGTAGTGTATATATCTATCTACCTTGTAGCAGGGATTTGGTGCTTGAAAAGATCAATTCCCCCATGTCTCAGATCGTAAAACCACGCTAGGGTTTTCTAGTTCCGCCAGAAACATCTTTCCGTGGAGGCATAAAAGGGATCTAGAGATACCTACCTACCTAGAGTAGATGAATACGGAGATACTCAAGTTCTACGGGAACGTAACCCCTAGCGACATTAAGGAGGTACCTATTGTTACCAAAACGTGATAATGGGTGAGATTGGCTGAAAGTAGTAGCATGGTTACTCTCATCGCATATAACCTCCTTAGGTAACAGAATTATGAAATAAAAAGGCATGCCCCCACCCCTGAATTCGTCCTAAGTTAAACTGGATTGCATTCTAAACCCCATCCTTACCTACTCACCAGCTTAACTATCAAACCATCAACAACATACCATGGGCAATATCTACCTACCTAGATTTGAAATCTACCTAGATACGGCAGACTCTCGTGCTATATCCTGACCTTACCAATGAGTCTTGAATGAACAGTATCTTATGATTCTGATGCTCATGGCGGGATGAATGGTAACCATTGGGAGGGAACACACAAGGAACAGAGTGCACCGGTCAAGAATCCTAGGGCTAAAGGGCTGGCCCCTTAACGCTCCCCTAGCAAATGTCTATGGACCGCCATTCACGCCAGGAAAGACCAAATGAAGACGTATGCAGATGCGAGCAATCTTCTACTTGCGCCAAAGGTCGGAAGCGAGCACCCGATTGGCTAGTATACGGTCGGCGCACGAGTTATAAGTTGGCAATATTCTCGCCGGTTCTCGCACGCGGCTAGCAACGAACGTCTGGACAAAGAAAATTGGAGTCTCGGGCGAAGCTCGACAGTCGCAACACCCCGCATTTGAATCATCGTGGGAGCGGTTTTAATCCTGCTCTCTCCCGATACAGCGCCTATATAAGCGACTGTATGGATAAACAAATAGCACGCTCTCCGACCGTCCTTCAATTCCGGGTGTCGAAGGACTAAAATAACGAATCGCCTAAAAAGCCTAGCCTATATTCTAAAGGCAAATATCAGCAAAATCTTGAAGCTTGAAGCAAAGGTTTAAACCGAGACGCATCCACACGGGCGATACTTGCCTCAAGGGAGATCACGTGAAGAGCCAACGATTGAAGATATCTCTGACGCACAGACCACATATATCCGATACACGGACCACCTGACCTTGGATAAGATTTGGGTTAGAGCACGTGACGATGAGCCATCTACTCATCACCTGACTGACATGGAGATGGAATCTAAAAATATCGTTTACCACATCCAAACAAGGGAGAGTCATTGGGCGATGAATGTCTCAGTCAATTGATGAGGTGAAGGCTTCCAATGGGGAAAATGAAACCGGCCTGGTCGGAGCAATCTTCAAAGCTGGGACTCAAGAGTGGTCAAGGAGGACTGATCTACCAAGATCGTTGATGGCAAAGTACAAATTCGTCATTTTAGAAGATTACCTCCGACCAGAGTGCGGTCTTCTAGAAAGAATTGAAGTTGTATCTCACCATAGTGATAAGAGTGGGCTAGTACGTAGCCCCTGTAGGCCTTCACGCCGGCCCGGTCGAAACCTTTGATCAGCAGTCGCCTTGCAATGATGAGAGTCATGGAAAATCACCGACATTGTCTAATAGCTTTTGCGACGAAAAAAGGGCCTATTATTCGGAGATCTCGATGCGCCCCTGGAGCTAAGGTATTAGGAGAAAAGCTGATGTTCGACATTTAAGGCGTTTGACGGATTCCAAATTCTGGGCGAAATTAAAGATTCATCCGACAGTGGGGATGGGCATCCATTCCTTACCCCTGCGTCTCCAAACCTAGCAACGAGATCATATACAACGGTACATTTAAAGATGGCCAAGTATTTCATGAGGCTCTTCAGCAAGGGAAGATCGAATTACTGCAGCATCGGATTTCAGCCAGGCATAGTGCGCTGTTCACTAAGCTAGTGTTTCAACATCTGAGGCTTTCCCAGCTCGCTCTCCAACCAAATTCCCCTAGATGTGCCTGTCCCCCCTCCTCTTTCGTGCCCAGCAGAAGGCCAAGGACCGTCCGGAACGTTCCGATTCCCATTTATTCAAACCCCAGGATGTTCTTTGGGTTGTTCGTCAAGTAGGACTTTGTGATCAGCAGGAAACACATTGGCTACGGTACATTTGATTCTATCTGGATGCTCTGGTGGTTTTGCATGTATCACATACGGTTCACCCGGGTCCCGAATGCTCTTAAGCGGCTACCGTCACGTCAGCACTACCTCTGCTCCAAGCATACCCAGTACGTACTCACATGCAATTACAGCGCGACGAGACGCCCATTCGCATTACCGGCATAAACAAGACCCTTGCTATTGCGGAACGGGGGTGCTTCCCTTGCAATTGATAACCCACGTTTCGTGGCTTTCCATTGATTTTACTTTGGCAATTTGTCGGTCTTTAGTGATGCGTGCTAGTCGCCCTCTTAGAGCCCTAGGCAGGGCACCCACCAAATGAAAAAAGTATATAACTATTTAGGTGATTGAACATATTATTACCTTTATTTTTTTCGCTTTAATCAACCTTTGTATATTCATCCAGACTATCCTAAGTAGCTCTCCCAAGCTTCTCCAACGTTGACTGAGTATAAAAAGTTTTCATACGAAGAGTTGGCCTGTATAAGGTATGACTTTCGTCCTCATGGTCTAACCCGCGCTGCCATGATTTCTCGATGTTGTCCTTGGCCCCCAACTCACGTTGAAGCTTAGTAGGTCACGTTTATCGCTGTCGTCAAGCCCAAATCAGTACGGTTCATTCTCATCGGTCAACGCGTCCTTCAAATATCAACTTTACCTATCCCAAAATGACATGCTTTGGGAAGCGTCGCAAGGGCCAAGGCGGCGGCCGAAGTGGAGAGTTTGTACAGGTCGCCTCAATATCCCCAAAAACAACCCCACCGGCGACTCAAGGCGGCGATCGAAGCAGTGGCAGTGTCAATGGCAATGGCAATGGCAATGATAGTAAAAGCAGTGGAAAAGGCAATGGGTCTACAGAGAATACAAAGTCTCAATAACTGCTCACGTGGAAGTTCGATAACGGACGCCGAGGGGAATCCAAAGGATATACCAAGGGCTTATCGTCGTGACGGCGGAGGATTCTCGTAAAGGTCGCAAGCTTTAACCTACAGACAGGTTTCCCTCCAATTTCACAGCAATCCGTCCCTCTCAAACTAGGCACTTCGCTTAGTTGTGCCAGCAATGATTAAGTGCTCGGCATTAATAAAAAATGTAATATTATAGATATATCAAAAAGGATATGGCGATGCCTAGACCTATCACATTATTATATGAGACAATGCGGCTCTATTCTATAATAGAATTCGTTACCTGAAACACCCATTTGGTGCTCGTCTTATCATCCTAGGTTGACCAGTGTCTCGCCCAGTTTAAACATGTTCGTCTGGTGAAGACTTATCTACCTAATTCATGGAGACCGTTCACTAATCGAGACCAAACATGTAAAGATATATCAAACAATACGCGAAGAACGTAGGAAAGACGCCCTTAGTCATACGCGTGATTACGAAGAGGTCTAGACCCAACCAAACCGCCTCTAACTGAGAAGCCCGCCGCCTTCTTTACCCTTGGCATTGATGATGTAGTGAGGAAAGACTTCACATTCGTAGGCGGGACATAGAGATAACATCCCATGCACTGCCACGCAACTTTCACTGGCCATGCCATAAAAAGCTAAGTCCTACGTATGTCCACCCGCCGAGTTTACTCAAATTTCGTGGTCCATACAGACAGGGTTAAAAACCAGCGCTTAACCTTATTCACCAACAATTTCACCAGCTCATGACTCGTGAACAGCAAGCATTCAAGGTTTTGAGAGATTTCCGAGCTTATTCCCGTATTCCCTGCCATCAAAGATATTCTCTTCCTTCTGGAACATTCAGCTGTAACCGCTTCCCCGGTCGCCTTCACTGAGTATGTGGGTTATTGTTATGTTAGGGCAGATTTTGGCGTACTATAACATAAGACGGCTGCGATGTGTGGCAGGGGATCTACGCACATACGTACTAGATATGATCCTTGTGTGTAATCCTTGGTATGTCGATACATAGAAAATGGAGATTTGGTTCACTGGAACATGAAAAAAGGCTAGAAACGGGATGATTTCAGACCAGAGCCTCGTCTGTCCATGTCTGTGCGTGTATCTACACCCACGGA